GCGGCAGGTCCAATAATGCTGAGCTCCAGGCATGCATGTTGCCAAGAAGCCAGAGAGGTCTGGAGACTGACCAGCTCCCTCAGCTCACGCCAAGGCCCTGCACAGTGCTGGGCTTGTGGATGCTCAGGAAAGTAGCTTCCGGTTCTCTGTGAGAGAAGGGCCTCAGTCCTGTGGGCTGAGTGTCTTGATGATGAGATGCTCTGTTCTAGAGCCATCTTGCGGGGAAGGGGGTCTAAATCAGGGGACCATGAGGTTGTATGGAGGTTTATGTATGTTCCTGTGTCTGAAGAGGAGCCACAGCTTTCTTGGCATTTTCGGAGGCATCCAAGACGCACAAGAGGCCAAAGATCACACTATCCAAGAGACTGTAGCAGGAACAAGGGGATTACGCCATTTGGCACGCCCAAACATACAAGCCCACCTCTGGGGCTGCTGGTGGGGGGTGATGTGCCAAGCTGCTGCAAGTATGTGAGGATGGGGAATGGCTACCCAGGTCAGGTTGGCTCTGAGCAGAATGGAGCTCCTCATGACTCCCTTCCCACTCAGACCACACAGGCTGCAGAGAGCATCCCCCGCTCCCACCCCCCGGCCTTTGGGGAAGATGGCCTCCCCCACCATCATCTGTGAACCTCATCTCCAAGCTTAGGGCTTCCTCCCCAGGTGGTGTTGCCCCCTCTCTGAGCTCCGATTTCCCCATCAGCCTGGGGCCGTATATCTTCTCCTCCTTTCTCCTGGCTGCTTTATAGCTTGCTGGAAACACCTTCCTTTAGCACTTCGAAATGTATCACTTGAAAGCATCTTAACGTTAACCAACGTGATTCTTTTTTAATTTGAAGGGGGTTATTTCTCCGAATGGCTTTCCTGATCATATAGGAGGGCATGCTCCTTAATATTAAACTTTTTCTTCATAAAGAGGAAAAAATGACTCACATCTGTTTGATATTTAATTCAAATTGAATGGCAGGACAGGAACAAAATTACACTGCAAAAGGCCATAAAGCGTGATGTTTAAAAGAGCCAAGCATACCAAATCTACATGTCAGAAAATTTGAAATGACACGGGATTGAGGGGACACGGCCTGGGCAATGAGGTGTCTCCTACCCAAAAGCCAGAGGAGTAGTAGCCAAGTTGGGAGAAAGTGAGAGGTAGGAGAGGGGCTCACTTTGCTCTGGAGGAGGGATGGGTTTCTGCCACATGTGAGTTTGGGGTCTGGGATTCAAGCCTCAAGTGGGGGTCTTGATGCCTTCTGGAATTCAATGCCAGTTGCTCTGGGTTGGGGGGTAGCCTGTCTGGAGCCTCCCAAGGGGCTGCTGGGTAATGCTCACACACTGCCTGGGTGGCCAACCAGACATTGCCCTGCTGTCAGTGTCCAGCAGGCCTTGGGGTTTGGCTACAGTTCAGAGACGGAGTTGAAAGCCCCTCTGCTTCCTGCTGATCAGTAAACCAGAGACTCCAATATCCTTTGTCTAAGAGGGATGAGAGGTGGGGTGAGGCCCAGGGAGCTGTGCTTTCCTTCCTCTAAACGCCAGGCAATCTGTCACTGCCCCGAACTCTAAAAGAGTTCCTGGGAAAGAAGGGAGTGTGGTCTCTTACTTAACACCCCCGTTGCATGTTTTAAGCCAGAGGACTGATCCCAGGGCCCTAGCACAAGCACTGCCACTGTAAACCATATCTGGTGACATCTGCTAGACGGGCGTTGACAATGTGACTCTGCAACCCAAGCTCGACCAGAGCTGATCAGCTGCCCTTCACCAAGTGTGCATGGAGCGAAGGGGGTGAGAAGAGCAAGGATCTAGAAGAAATCAGATACTGGCTCTCCCACTGACCTGCTGAGAGAATTTGGGCATTCATCCCCTCTCTGAGCCTTAGTTTCTTCTTCTGTTGCATGGGATGGTTTAACATCTTCATAAGGTTATTTTGAACATCCACACATTCACTTTTAAGTAGCAAAGCATTATACAAGTTTCTTAGGATGGCTACTCTGACCCCTCTAGAGCCTCTGTGTACTAGCATCTTTATTTCCAAGGCATTTTCGCATTGGTTATTTTGTGTCTCTGGCCCACAGTTGAGCACAAGGGGCAGGCACTTTTTCCATACAATGGCGTCCTGGAGCTGTCTCATGCTGTCTTGTAAGAGACGACTGTTAAGGCACTATTAAAAATTAAATTGTATGAACTCACAGTTAAACAAACTATATTAAATACAAAGTTAATAAATAATCAAAACACAGCTTCCTAATTATTTCACTGTATTTTACTGTATCTATGCTCTTGTAAATTGTGTCTGTATGGCAGAAATGCTATGAAAAGCTGTGCTCGCTGTGCATCTCTTTCCAAATCCAAGTTCAGTGATGTCATCTTGATAGGTTGAAATTGACCACAGTTGGAGAATTTACACCATGGAAATCGGAGATGGGTAACACTACAACCAGACTTCACGCACCACCCAGAGAGCCTGTTGTTAAACATTAACCAGCACGTCCCTGATTGTTGAGGCTGGCAAAGTGAGGCATGCGGAGCTTTTGGTGACTTTCTCAGTCTCACGGCCATGATGAATGTCTTTCTCTCAACCCGCTGCTCTCTCCATCAGAGTTAGCTGTTCAGCATTCCCAGGACCTCATGTCCAGGGTGTATAGCATTTCGTTACCCAGAACACTCTGGCCTGTTCTGAATGCCCCCTACCACTCCTCTAATGAGATCTCCTTGGCTTCTGTTTTTTCCTCTGAGCTGAGCCAAAATATTCACTCTGGTTTGTAAAGCATGCTGAGAATCTCAAGTGGAGGTATCTTCTCTCTAACTTTAACTTTTGCTCTTAAGGAGCAAAACTCACAGCTCATCATTACCTCATGGTTTTCTAACCAACACTTTACCTGGGGTGCTTGACAAAGCCCAGAGGCAGGCGTGTGCGTGTGCGTGTGCGTGTTGGGGAAGAAGTCAGACCGCATGAGGCTTTCCTGATGCTGCAGCTTGAAGTCTGCACAGCAACCGCAGGCCCCGGGGAAGAGGAATGTAAAACCGAAAGACGGAAGACGGAGCCCCCTGATGATTAGCTTCCCCCTCTGGCCTCCAGCGAGTGCCACAGGGGACTATGTGTTCCTCAGTAATGAGGCCCAGCACTGGTGCTGGAAGCCTCTGACGTCAGGCGTCCAGCCTGCCTGCTTCCAGGGCTCTAGGGCCAGAGCTCCAGCGTGGGAGCCCTGCGCCTCGTGCGTGTGTTTCCAAGAGGTGAAGGGCTGGGTGGTTGTGTTGCACCACGGAGGCGGGACTCATCTAGAAACAGAAAAACCTGCTGGCCTCTTCTCATTCCGATCAATTAGTTTTTTAAAGTGCACGTTAACCTTTTAACCAGCATCCTTGTTGTGGCGTGATGTGCTTCTCAAAGCCTCATTCCCCGAAGGTCTGCCTTCACCCCCTCCAAATTCTTCCTCACAGTCAATAGACACTTACTGAGGACCTACTGTGTGTCAGGTGGTTGTTCGATCTGCAGACAGTTTCCGCCACCCCCAGGGCTCTGCTGGGGGGGGAGTGCCGGCGTGATGCAGAGCACACAGCAAGTACCCATATGCCCAGCTGAGGAAATACCTTTTGTTCCATGGATCATGACTGAAAATCCGCTCTGAGTGTCCCAACACTGGTTTGGAGGTAGGAAGGAGCTGGCTCTTTGCGGGAAAAAGTCAAGGAAGCTTTCTGGAGGGAAGAGCATTTGGGGATGGGTGGTGGTTCATGTTCAATAAGAAATGGATGGCATTTTTTGAGCATTTCCAAGGTAGGTGCTGAGATCCCGTACAGGTTGTGTGTTTCAGTCTTCACAGAGGTGGGGTAGGTACTAATAGTATCCTCACTTTATACACGAAGAAAAGAGGCTTGGAAAATGAAGTTTCAGGGTCAGGAAGTGAAGGGCAGGGGGGATTTGGACCCTGTTCTTCTGCCCTGCCTCTCAGGCGGGAGGGGAGGGCTGCAGAATCAAAGCAGACATCCTTGCAGGACTGTGTGGGCCAGGCCAGGCCACATCTGTACCTCACTGTCCTGCACTTGTCCTTTGTGCCCTCTCCCTTCCTTTCTTACAGATGCTGAAGGTCATACAGGCTGGGATGACAGTGGTAGAGGGGGATTTGTGTTTGCCTATGGCTTCAGGAGGCCCCTGAGCAGCGGAGCCCTCTGTGCTGTTCATCCCCCTCCCATCTCTGCTCCATTTTTGGCGGCCACCCCAGGGCTTCAGGCTGGGACTGAGGGCACTGAGGTGGGCACACTCCCTGTGCTGGGTTTGACAGTTTGCCCTCAGAGCCCTCGCTCCGCCTTCCCTCCTCGGCTCTGTACTCCGGGGAGTCACCCCTGCAGGCTGCGTTTCCTAGGCTGCTCATCAGACGCCTTGGGCCGGCTTCGGCCGCTGGGGGCCAGGAAAGGGGAGAAGCCAGGATATTTTGCCCTCTCTCTCAGCACCTTGGGGAGGGTCTGACAGCAGCCGCATCTCTTCTGTGGCTCCAGCTCCCGCTGGATGGCCTCTGCCTCCGAGGTCCCAGCTTCACGGGTAGTTCTAGCTCTGTGCCGCCCAGCACCCGCTCTGGTCACACGGTCTCCGCAGGTGCCCCTGCAGCCCCAGGGGAGGGAGCTAGCCGTGGTAGCACTTCTTGTGCTTGCCGAACTCTGAATTGCATTGCCCGTGTGGCTTTTCGGCAACTCTATCACCTGTATACCCAATTCACTGAACCAAATTTTTGAAATACTTAGAGTGGTTTTTTTTTTCCTGACTGGATCCTGACTGATATACTCTGGGCCACCGTCACCCCACCTGCCCCACAGGCAAGGTGACCTAATAGGGTCCATCTTCCTAGCCCATCTGCAGCAAGCTGCAGGTGAATGAAAGAGTGGTATCACGGCATCCCCATCCCTCAGAGAAGCAATTATGGAAACCCCATGTCTGGCTGCCTGGCTGAGCTCTCCCTCCAAAGGCCCCCGTCTCTGCTTTATTCTGAAGACTCCCCACCCCCCCCCCCCCGGCGTGCACATCTTTAAAGGAAAGTGAGGCAGACATCCCAGCGGGGGCTCCTTCCAGCAGTTAAAGTGCTTGGCTCAGAGCCTGGGGCGTCCTGATGGCTTTGCCTAGTACCTGCTCTATGTAAGCTCTGTGTTAGGTAACGCAGAGAGGATCGGAGAACAGAGGGGAAGGAAAGCCCCCTCCAGAACCCCAGACCCCACGGTTTCTCCCTCCTCCCTGGACTGTGATTTGGTTTTGATTCACATCTGCCCTTTCTCAGACTCCTTGTTTCTTGTTCCCAAACGTCTGGAGCTGCGCACTCTGGTGATAGTGCCCCTTAAAGAAGTGGGTGTCACGGGGAAGTGGAAGCAGAGATAGAAACAGCTCAAGGATGCTGACATTACTGCGGGACACACATTTTTGTGGTGCAAGCCCCCTGCCAAATGGCACCTAAAGCCCTTTCAACTCATGTGCCTAAAGAAGGAAATAATGAAACTCTTCTGTTGAGGATCACCTGGCTCCCCACATCCACTCACTTAGGCTGTTTTGTTCCCACTGGAGCGTATGATTGGAAAACAAAGGTAAATGAGAGCAATTTATTCCCGGATCATTTTTTTCCCCCAGCAGCATTAAAGCTGCCTCTGGTCTAAAGAGTTTACAAACTCTAAAGAGAGATAACTTCCCTTCTCATGGCCCGGTCATGGGGAGGTAATGCATGTTTCCAATCAGCTGAGAATGTAACTCAAATGGTAGATTTTATTTCACTTTAATCCGCCTGTGAGTTCACTTTCAAGGTAAGAGGGAGCACAACCTGCAACGTGAATAGAGTTGATTAACCCCGAAATCTCCTCCTAAAGGTGGAGGAGCTGGCCTAGCTCCTCCTTGCCTGGCTTCGGGGCCTGGTGTGGTAGTGCGTGACTGGGGCACGGGGTGCAGGGAGAGCTGCCTCAGTGAGGGGAAGCTGCCTCAGTGATTCAGAGACCCACTCGCCTGATGGAGGCACCAGTACCAGCAGATGCCATGGAGTGGAAGCAGAGGAAGCAGAGGACACAGAGCAAAGCTGGACAGCCAGACTCACGTAGCAGATACAGCAGGAGGCAGGTCTCCCGGCCCAGTCCGGCGGTGGGAGGAGGTTATGGAGGCAGCAACGAACCATTCACCTGGCATGGGGGCTCCCTTGCTTTTGCACATCTCTTTGCTGACTGCAGCCTGGCCACTCAGTGGGCTGCTGGGAAAGAATCCCTTCTCAGTTTGTGTCTCAGCTCTCTTTGGTCACAGGGCAACCTTGAGCTAGCCCCTTAACTCTGTCTTATTCACGTTTACGAAGTAACCTCGATTTGAGGGGAAAGGGAAAATGTTTCCTTTATCAGCCTACGGTGAAAACTTCAATGTCGCTCTTTCCACTGGGTAGGCATTGCCCTCTCCAATCCTTTCTTTGAAAATGCAGATGCCTCTAGCAGGGCCAGATCTTAGCATCCTATACCACAGGAAATCTCTTTAAGAGACAGTCTTGTTTCAGGGAGGCTGTGTGCTCCTAGTGTATGTTTGCGGTAGGTGGTCTCTGTGGCCCACAGGCCTAGACTCAATCCAGCCAGCCCAAGCCCTGATTGCTGTGGCTGGGAGCCCTCCCAGGGTCTCCTGGGGACACCGACGTGCCTCTGTTTGGGGCAGGAAGTGACTGCTTCCCTGACCACGCGTGCCTGTCTGTCCGTCCCGGCTCTGCCCAGCTCTGTGATGGCCGTCAGGAATACAAGAGCAAACCACCCAGGGTCCTTGTCTGTGTGGATCTTGGTGTCTCACAGGGAGAGAGACATGGAAACCGTGGGCGCAGCGTCCCGGTGCCGGGAGGGAAGGGCTGTGCACGGCTGTGGCCAGGACTGTGCTGCCTGATGAGTCTGCCGCCGCGACCTGACGGCGTTTCTTTGTGCCTCAGAGCCCCACGCTGGGGTTGTTGATGGAGCATTCTCGTGTCTCCCTCAGCACGGGGCTCAAGCGAATGCAGTGACTCACAGACAGGTCGGGGGGACTCCCATTCTTAGAAGAGCAGAGGAATGTGGGGTTATAATGCCTGAAAGGGCACAGGGAATGATTTCTAAATTTCCAGATGTCCTCTCAGAGAGTTGTAGCGCTCTGGGGTATGCCTGAATGTAATTGATGTAGTTCTTTGTAGCAGATGTGTGTGTGTGCATGTGTGTGTGTGTGTGTGTGTGTGTGTGTAAGCTGAGTCCATGTGTCTATATGCATTCAATTCATTCCACTAAATCAAACAATGAAAGCAACCCTATTGAGCACTTCCTGTGTGCCAGACACTGCACCAGGTTCTTTATATGCAGTGCCTCATTTTACCTTCTCAAAGCTGTTATTTTCCCCATTTCCCAGAAGAAGAAACTGAGGTACAGGGAATTTCAGTCACTTGTCCAAGATCCCAGAACTAGTAACTGTGGAGCAAGAATTCTAACCCAGGCAGCAGCCTGACTGCAGAGCCCCTGCTTGGAGCCACAACAGCGTGTGCGCGCGCGTGTGCGTGTACACCCCTCAGCCACATAGGCTGCCCTGTGTATGCGAGCTGAGGGAATGCAGAGGACATTGTTGAGAGGGACTCACTGCCCTGCTCAGTCTGTCTGAGCAGCAAAGGAAAGGGGTATCAAGTTCATGGACCAGGGCCTGAAGCCAACCTGATAATTCTAACTTCTGGGCGAGAATTGGAGGGTGGGTGTTGGGGTCTGGTGATTTAAATGGTTTTCCACCGAAGAAAAATGGAGCCTTGCATGGAGTGGAGCTTTGCTGTTTAGGAAACGTGTATGAGGCAGGCAGTGAGTTTCCGGAGGGGACTTTATGAACAGGTAGAGTCTGAAACAACAAGCTGGGTGTTTCCTGGCTCCCTTCTGCCCTGTCTCTGGTTTGCCCTCCTCCCGCGTGCTGCACAGTCCATCCTGGGGCCCAGAGGGCCTCCCAGACTTCACCCCAAGTCAGAGACTCCCCCAGGGAGGAGGTGGGCTGCTCCCTCTCATAGGCCCCCAGCTAGGTTGGGTTTGCCCCTTCCTGGAAGGAAGAGGACTCTCGGTCTATGGCAAAGGTTCCCTGGTGGAGCAGGGGAGCTGCACCCTGGGGGCTCTGGGGAGCCACCAGCCAGCTTCCTCTCTCCAGCCTTTGACGTTCAGGTTTAGTCTTCAGGCAGTGGCTTTTCCGTTCTGCGTGCAAAGGGCTGCTGCTCCCTAATGCATAGTTTGGGGAGCACTTCGGTCTGTGGAGGGATCATTGTGTGAAAAATAAAGGCAGTCCCAAAACAGTGGGCCTCATCAGACCACAGCACACATGGCTTCTGCGGCTCACCCGCCCTGACCGTGTGTCTCCCATTCTACAAACCCTGAATATTGGGGCTTCTGGTGCCAACGTTCACAATAATAAACCCCCTCCTGACTGCCCACCAGGTCCGTGGCTAAGACAAAATTCTTCATCAGGGAATCACAGAGTGTGGCTGAGCCCTCAGGCTCCAGAGCCATCCCGCCAGGCTCCCAACCTTCTCTCACTCCATATTCCTGTCTAAGGTGAGCCCTTGGGTCAGGACCTATATGTTTCCCTCTCTCAGGTCTCACGATAGTAGCTAATACTTACTGAGTGGCTGCTGTGTGCCAGGTGCTGCACTAAGTGCTTTATATGTGCCACCTCCTAAAACCCTCACAGCCCACTGGCTGGCTCCAGTGGGGAGCCCAGCGGGCTCCAGCAGGGAGGTGCTATCTTCTTGTGCATTTTCCAGAAGGAGAAATAGAGACCAAAGCAGCCTAAGTCACTTGCGCAAGATCACACAGCTAGTGAGTGGCGTGACGTCGGGCAAGATACTTCACTTTTCTGAGCCTCAATTTCCTCATCTGTACAATGTGGTTAATACCGTTGTCTATCTGGGCATTGTGGAGATTGAATGGGGGAATGTACACAGCACCTAGCAGAGCGTGGAGTACATAGTAAGCACTCACCAGACACGGCCACTTAATGGTAGAGCTGAGGTTAGCACCAGCATGAAGAGAGAGAAAACACAATGTCTCTAGCACTGCCCACAGTGATCATCTCCTGAATGCATGTCTTTCCTGAGTCCCAAGTAAGCTCCCTGAGGGCAGGGCCTTAGTCAACCTGTTCACTGCTGGTTCCCCGGGCTTTGCACAGCATCTGGTACAAGGTGGGTGCTTGGTGAAAGTTGAGTGAAGGACTGCTTTGGTGGTCCCATGGGCCATTCACAGCTTTGGACAGCCCCTTCTTCTCACATCCCTTGACCCCCTTTGCTTTGTGGCTGTGACCTGAGTGTATCTGCCTCGTTCCCTATTGGATGGAATCTTCCCAAGTCTGGGCAGTCTGGGTCCCGCCCACTGCTATCTTCCCCAAGGAGAAGATACTCAGGCCTGGCAGTGCGGTTGAACTTCCTTGCAGCCTACCCTGGGTGCAAAAGGATCTCTCTTCTTGGGCGGGAAGTGAGGGGTGTTGAAAGCCTTGTTGGAGGTGGTTACAGACCTTGGAATGTGAGCCAGCTAGTGGGCAGCTTCAGTGCCTTGGATATCGTACAGCTGGTTCAAGGCTGGTGGCAACCATCCGGGTCTGAGGTCCCTCCCTTCATTACACAGATGAACATGGTTTCTAGACCACACTCCCCCTCCCTGGGATGGCATGGAGCGTGGCTGCTTGGGCTCAGCTCCCCAGCACATACCTCCCAACATGCACTGAGAAAATGAGCGCACTCTCGATCCCCCACTAGTCCACCCCCATTGGCACATGACCCACCCTTGAGTGAAATAACTGCTGAACTGTATTCTGTCACAACCTCCCAGCCCGCCCTCTCATAGAATTAGTCCTGGAAGAGCGCATTGCTCTGGGAAGCTACCTTCCCTGAAGACCTTTGCCCTCTGGTCAGCCAAGGCTTTGATCCAGAAGTGAGAGCTGGGGAGCATGAGGATGAAGAGAATGACAGTGACGATGAATTTCCGGGCAGGCCCAGCCCCCAGCTCCCCATCCCCAGGAAGCCCTCAGCTCTACCTCCATCCTTTTCAGAACCGTGAGCCCCCGCCTTGCCAATTTCCTCTTACACCTCTTCTCTATTTCCTGCCCCTGCCTCTGCATGACGATGTGGCGTACAGGCGGCCCGTCTGGGGATCAGGGAATCCTGCTGGGTATGCCAGCTTAATGAAATACTTGCAGTTTATTAAACACAGGCTTCCCTAAGCCCCGAGTGCCTGTGGGTATTTGAAAGCCCAAGGTAACCCCAAGCTACCACAAACGTAATTGCTACATGTGTCCATGCATTCCTGGTGCAACCTCAAACTCCAGCTCTTAAGCGGCACACAAAATTAGCAACATAAAGTAACTCCTAGTCAGACGAGAGGGGGAAATGCGGGGAAACACTGAGAGAGGCTCCCAGAACCCCTCAGGGCCTCTAAAAGTATATGAAGTTCCTGTTACCTTGCATAGCTGTGGATGTGGAGGGCACTCCCCTCACCCCTGGTGGCTCATGCTTGCAGAATAGGTTCATTATTACGCGGCAGGCCTGGCTTGTCAACCTTGCATGATGTAGCTTGACTATTTCAAGCCCCATTTCAGCTAAGGCTTGCTCCGGGGTGGCCGGCGGGGCTAGCAGAGCGCACTGTCTGGGGGCTCCCTCTGGAGCTGTATTTCTGGTGCTCCTCCAGGCCTGGGCTGGGAAGGGCTGTCAAGAAACCCCAGGTGACCCGGAGCCTGCTTCCCTGAACCTGAGGGAGGCTGCTTCTGGGGGATGATTTCCCATTCGTCGGTCTCCTCAGCCTGGAGCCTGTAAATCAGGGGCGAGGGGCTGAGTTGGAAGCAGCAGACAAAGGCCTCCAGGGAGGTGCCTCCCTCGATGTGGACCACCATCTGCATGCCAGAGAAGGCGACCCTGTTGACGGTGCTCAGGGGCATCTGCTCCAGGAACCTCAGCGTCAGCCCGTTGACCCACACGCAGCCCTTGCGGCTCAGAGCCTTCAAGTTGAAGGCCAGCCGGGCACCGCCCTTCTCCAGGTAGGGTTCCAGTGACAAGTGCCGGCGGGAGAGGCGAGGGAGCTGCAGCCGGAGGTGGGCATCCAGGCCCCGGCCCACCAGCAGTGGGCTGGTGTCGTGCTCTAGCTGCGGAGGGACATTGGCGAAGGTGGCAGGGCCTGGCGTGGGGTGGTGCAGGCTCACCCGCAGGACCGTGAGGGGCCTCTCCATGGATGATAGCCTAAGAAAGACGGAGCACAGACACACAGGCGTGGGTGGAGGCAGACACTCCTCTGTGATTCCCTGAGCCCAGACATTCTTGCCCACCTCAGGGGCTCCCAGCCACCTCTGGCCAAGCAGGGCCGGGCACTGAACGTCCATGCAGTCATTCTGCTCCAGCCAGGCTGCAGCCACGGCCAGAGCTGGTGTGGAAGCTCAGGCCCGCTGCTTCTAGCCTCAGCTTCATCCCTAACACACTCTGAGTGAGGCATGCTACTCACTCTCCAAATTTTAGTTCTCTCTTCTGTGGCGTAGGTATGTTGATCCTTGTCTGTGCGAGGTCCAAGGCGTACCAGCCTGTGTGGTGGGGTTTGGGTGGCCTGTTGGCATTTGGGGACAATTTGCCCTGCCTCATGGAAAGGGAAGGACGGAAGGTAGGATCCACCTTCCTTGTATCCGACAGTCACACAACAATTGCCTGCCAAGCCCTCTGCTGTGCCAGGCGCTGACCAGTGGCTGGGGTGAGCTGATCAACAGGAACGCCCAGCTGGGAAAGGAGAAGGGGTTTCTAGCTCCCGGCGTTGTGGAGTGACACAGAAGAGGGGACCCCCGCCTGCTCCTGGGGGATCAGAAAGGCTGCCTGGAGACCCCTGGGCTCTTCTCCTCCTCTCTTCCCTGAGGCCTCCCGACGGCAGAGCTGCCTCGATGCCCTGTGTCCCACTGCCTGGTCCAGACGGGGCCTGGCCACAGCAAGTGTCTGGGGGCACACCTGCCAAATGGCTAAATGAGAAGAGGCTCACACATGTGAAAATCATGGGAAATCAAGTCCAGAGAGACCCCACATGAGAGTCCGGTCCTTAAAGGCTGTGGGACAGGCTCCAAGTCCCTCCAGACCCCGGACTCCCTATCTTTTGGGTGAAGTAATGGTGAGAACCTCCCAATCTGATAGCGAGCGCAGAGCCCTTAGGGCACGTCCTTTTCTCTCATGCACACACGCAGCCCCACACAGACACACCACAACCACACCCCGCTTCTTGCCCCAGCCCGCAGAGAGCCTCTCCCTGAGGTGTGTGTAAACTAGGCCCAGGACAGCTGAGCTGGACAGCCAAGTCCTCAGGCCTGGCCAGGAGCTCAGAGATCACTTCCAGGAACCAATCCCATGGCCCAGGGACCCTAAGAGAATCCCTCAGAAAAGAAGGGTTCAACGCTGCTCTTGTGACCTTACTCTCTGCTCTGCTGAGCCCTCCAGAGCTGATAGAAATCCCCCTGCTGGCGCAGAGCCCCTGCAGAGGCCTTCTCTTTGCTCCAGGACCCCAGCTGTTCCAGGGAAGCGGAAACTCAGAGGAAGACCCTCTGGGGTATGTGCCTGGTGAGGAGCCAGCAGGGGCCCCTCCCAGTCCCATCAGGCCTTCTCCCCTCACTGTGAGTTCCAGTCTCTGACCTCCACCTACCTTATTTCCAGGGTCACATCTGACTCCGGCACTGCAACTGTGAGCTCTCGGGAGGAAGTGGGTCTAGGCTGGGGCGGGTCTGGGGATGGCAGCTATGGCTGTGGTTAGGAGAAGTGATACGTCAGAATGCTCATGAGGTTTGTTGCTTTCTTCCTTTTTCCCTTTAGGAAAGAAAATGGAAGCGTAATTTCTTGTTGCAGAAGTGCAGCCCCACTGCTAAGAGGTTGGAAACCCCAGTCTGAGACCCTTGCTAGCAGAGGCCCCTGAGTTCCCTCCCGGGTTTCATCTCTGCCAGTCTCTACTGCCCCATCCCCAGGGACCTATTTCAGGGTATGAACAGTTCCTCCTCCCCCCTGCCAGGTGGGTGGGGCAAAGGCATCCCAGACCTGTTAGAAAGGGGAGCTCTTTTGGACAGAGGGCCAGTGAGGGGAGCTCCCACTGCATGTGGGAGACTGTGAGGGGGCCACTGTGGCCAGACCAGGGGTGGCCAAGGGAGCTATGGGCAACACAGCGGTCCACTGAGTGTCTCAGGAAAGGGCAGGGCCTCAGGGGAAGGATAAAACAGCTACTCACAGAGGGTGGCCTCTCCAGCAGTAGGACAGCAGGAAGGCCACCTTCTACGCCCACCTCTCCAGGGCTCTGCTGGCCTTCGAGGGCAGCCTGGAAGAGACCAAGATGGATGTGTGTCCAGCACTGGCCCCAGATGATCTCAATCTCTCTTCTCTAACTGCCTCCTAGAAAAAAAAAGAAATACTTGCTAGAAAAAGTTAATATCATACAGAGCCTCTACAGCTTCTCATTAACAATGTTCTACAAATAATAAAAAAAAGTACTAGGCATGCTAAGCTACAGGACCAACTGTCAAACAAGAGAAAAAACCAACAGAAACAATCTCACTATATACGTCCACAAAAAGACCTGTACAAGGATGTTCACAGACGTGGATAGATCTAGAGACTGTCATACAGAGTGAAGTAAGTCAGAAAGAGAAAAACAAATATTGTATACTAACGCATGTATGTGGAACCTAGAAAAATGGTACAGATGAACCGGTTTGCAGGGCAGAAGTTGAGACACAGATGTAGAGAACAAACGTATGGACACCAAGGGTGGAAAACCGCAGTGGGGTGGGGATGGCGGTGTGCTGAATTGGGCGATCGGAATTGACACGTATACACTGATGTGTATAAAATGGATAACTAATAAGAACCTACCTGCTGTATAAAAAAATAAATAAAATTAAAAAAAAGAATGTTCACAGAAGTTTTATCCTATTAACCCCAAACTAGAAACAACCCAAATGCCCATTAAGAAAAATGGATAAAAATTTGTATAATATGTATACAGTGAAGCACTATACAGCAGTAAAAAAGAGAATGGGCCAATGATACACAAAACAATGGAGATGAACCTAATGACCATTATGGAGAGCAAAAGAAACCAGGCACAAATGATATAGACTGTGTGATTCCAATTACATGAAATGCAAGAACAGATAAAACTAGCCTATGGTAATAGAGGTCAGAGTAGTGAATGATCTCTGCAGAGAGGTATTGACTGTTGTATTCATTTACTGGGGCTGCCATAACAAAGTACCACAAATGGGGTCGCTTAAATAAACAGAAATGTATGGTCTCAAAGTCCTGGGGACTAGAAGTCCAAGACTGTTTCGGTAGGATTAGTTCCTTCTGAAAGAGAACCTGTTCCAGGCCTCTCACCTAGCTGCTGGAGGTTTGCTGGCAATCTCTGGCATTGCTTGGCTTGTAGAGGCATCACCCTGATCTCTGCTTTCGTCATCACGTGGCATCCTCCCTACACGCAGTGGTTCCAATGGCAGCATTTCAGGCGCGCTGGTTGGCTTATGAGGGGGAGGGGCCTGGGGCAGGCAGTCAGGCTAGACCTCAGGGCTCTTGCCGGCACCATACACCCGCTCAGCACAGACAGCTTCACCTCCCTGATGGACGGATGGATAACCAGAAGTCCAAATGGCCACTCTGAGGAGCTTTAAGGTCTGCAAACACACCAGGGCTGAGCCTGCTGAGTGGAAGGTGGCTGGCCACGTTCCAGAGACCTTCCTCTCGGCCCATGGGTCTGCCTAGCCCAGACTGCCGGCCAGCTGCATGTCTCGGAACCATGGTCTTCCCCAGGGCCCCTCACACACACTGCCTTCCCTTCTAGGTGATGCTCAGGTATTTCCTCCCATCTGCAGAGAAGGGCAGTGGGCCTCAGGCAGAAGCCTGGCAGGGGCTTTGTTGCCCCTAGGTGTATGACCTTGGGTAAGTCCTATCCCCTCTCCATGCCTTAGTTTTCCTCGCTGGGGCATGGGACATCCCTCCTCACTGCCCCCTGGAACCAGGCCTCAGTGAGAGGAAGGCTGTGTCCCCACTCCCAGCCCTGGCCCGGGAGAGCGGGTGGGCGGAAGAGATGTGTTTGTGGTCCCTGAGTTCCCTCATAACTCAGTTCCCAGAAGTTCCCAGCAAGAGAGGGAACTGAAACAGCCAGGGAACTTATCTGACAAGAGGAAGAACTGCCCAGCTGCATCTCCCAAGGGCCAGCAGGAAGGCGGGCTGGTAACTGTCTGGCCTTTCCCCGGGGGCAGGGGGAGAGCCAGGGGAGGTGAGAGCAGGGGGAGTGAGGTGCTGGCTTCTCTCTGCTCGTTGCCCTTGGCTAGGACGGCCTCCTTTGGCTGGTGTCAGGACGCTGGGGAGTGTACGTCAGTGAGCAAACGCCCCCAGTCATGCTCCTTCGAGAACTCAGGGACAGAAGGACAGCTTCCGGGACTCCTACAATGGTGGGCAGACGAGGACTCTACTGTTAGATAGACTCGGGTCTGAGGCTTGGCTCCTTCTTTTGTAGCAACTGTGTGCCCTCAGACAAGTTACTCAGCCTCTCTGAACCTGATTTCTGCTCTGTAAAATGAGGATAATTTGTTGCTGTGTGAGGGCTAAATGAAACACGTGCAAAGTGCCAAGCACGTGAGGAGGGTTGGTAGGTAGAACACCAGAGTCGAGTGCAGATGCATCCTGGGGAGAGGGGCTGGCAGAGCCCACTGACAGCCTGCACAAACCCCAGATTCTCAGAAGCCTTCAGGTTTTGCTTAAGACAAACATAATTCTGGAGCTGAATACATAATTTGCATGAGTTCAATAGAAATTTTATTTTTAAATGATAATGAAGTAAAACGGATGCTCTAGAAAGAATCTCCACGTTCTGGCTGGGGCAGGTGGCCCTGACCCAGGAGGAGAAGGCTACTCAGTAGACAGGAAAGGAAGCGGAGGCTCACAGCCATCAGTCAACTAATTAAGATCACATGTCTGGGAAATGTCCGAACCAGGATTTGGGCCCAGTCTGTTGTGCTCCTGGGCCTAAACATGAAGCTGTCGTGCCTCATGGGTGGTGTTCTGTACGGTCCAGCTGCCCCATCTTCTCCAAACGTGTGCTCCGCTGGCTGGCTGGCAGTGCGCTCAGCGGAGAGGGCGCTGCTTCCAGCCTGCCAAGCCAGTGTGGCCGCTTACCACCCGCATCCCCCTCAGGACATCCCCAGGTGTCCTGATAGCCTGTGGCCACCAGGTGGCAGCATCCCTCAACCCGGTGGCTTGCTCTTCTAGGCGGAAAGGGGCGGACGGTGAAAGTCTGGGGGAGCCATTCATGGGACTGCTGGGGAGGGAGGGCGACAGGGTCCTTGTTTCTCTGACTCAGAATGCCCTGAAATGGCCTAAGGTGAATCTACAGCAAATCTCACCAGAGGACACCAACTCCAACCGTGGAGACAGAGCAGGAAGCCAGAGGGTGAGGCCCCGCAGAGCGGCGGGTTGTTATAAGGGCAGGTGCTGGGACAGACAGGGACGAACTTAGTACGCAGCACAGCGAGGGTGAGAGGCCAGGTCTGCTTCCTTACCTGTAAGATGGAGTAGCCATGATCCTCTCCAAGGAGGGGCCCCCTTGGAGGAAAGGCACGCACCGCACTCGGCCCAGGCCAGCACTTCGTGCTCACTAAGCGCTCAGGATGTGGATCCAGCGGTTGTGACCATGATCATCAGGACAGCGTTCCCTGTCCCCACTGAGCCGTCAGGTAAGAAAAAAATTAGCTGTCACTTGTAGAGATGGTGCTGTGATGGGGGGATGCCCAGTATATGAACCCAGGAGGGGCACCTAAACTGCCAGGGGCGGGGCGCACCAGGAAGCACTCTGGAGGAGGGGACCCTGCGCTGACCTGTGCAGAATGACTAGGAGCTGGCCAGGTGGAAGCGATGATAGGTGGGGTGGCACTTGGCGGAGGAAGGTGGCGTCAGCTGCCCGGCTGCTGGAAGGGCTCTCCCACGCTTTGCCCTATGCCCTTGGCTAATAAGAATGGTAACAAAGACAGTGACGGTGCATTTGAATTTTAAAACGATAATGAAATGAGCGTTGAGTAAGTCCTGACTCTATCCTGTGTCCTGTGCTAAGCCCTTATGTGAACTGTCTTATTTAGTCCTCACTACACCTGTGGGAGAGGTTCCACTATTAACTCTGTTTCACAAATGAGAGCGCAGAGGCACAATTAAGTAACTCACTCAAGATCACCCACATAGAAGGTCACGGAGCTGCCTCTCAAACCCAGGTCTGATCTTCAGACCATTGCCCTCAACTCCTGGGCTCCCAAGGGGCAAGCCCTTTCCCCTCTCTGGGCCTTTGGTCCCCGACTTCTGATGGCTGGGCTGGGCTGGGTGAAGCAAATGGCTATGAGGGACAGCCCTGGCTGCTTATTCCTGCTGCGTTCCCTCCCAGAGCACTGGTGGGGCCTCCTTGCGCTGGTGGGGCTGGCCAGCGTGGCCCGGGGGGTGACCTCCACCTGCTCCAGAGGCAGAGATGGTGAGCATTCTGCCCATGCTCCCTCCCCTATTCCAGGGGTCATTGCTAAGCCCAATTTCATTATTGTTCTGTGTTCTTAATATATGTCAGTTTTACTTTATGCTAAATCCAATAATGGAGCCCTGACCAATGCCTGGGGCAGGCCCCGGAGCCATGGTGCCTGGGAATTCTGAGGCCTTCTGGGCTCTCACCTTGGGATGGGGTAGTCAGGCCACGTAGAGCCAGTGCCAGCAAGCCCAGCAATTACCTTGTGCTTTTACTTCCTTTTTTCCCACTGAGCTAAGGGCTGTCCCTTAGGCTGCCTGGGGAGGAGAGGCTTGGGGAAGGCGGAGGCCGAGGCGTCTTGCATCCTGGCCTGTGTGCTGTCCCCTCCCACTTCACCCACAGCATCCAGAGCAGCTGTGGGCTGGAGGGCAGGGAGGGAGCCCTCACCGGGAGCCCAGCCTTGGCTCTGCCATGGACATACTTTGTGGCAAGTTGCTTTTCCTCTCTGGGCCTCACTGTCCTCATCTGTAGAATGGGGATAATCATGCCTGCCCAACCTCCCTGGCCCTCTAGCCAGTATCTTCATCTAACACTTGGAGAGGGATCAGCTTTCACCTGGTCAAAAGGATTTGCCAAGGGCTTCTTTCTTTTTCAGTCAAGAACCCATATTGAAGAAACAGCTTGATCTTATTTAAAGAATGCAGCTGGCCAGGAAAGATGGCCCCAAACACAGCACAACACATATCAAACATGGGGGTTTTGTTTTTAATTAAGTGAGGTAAAAGCCTAGCATAAATACTTTAACTAAAGTTTAGGAATAAAATGTATTCTGAAATTAGCATGTCTTCAAAGGCAGATTTTTAACATACCATGTAAAAAACCTCTGTGTGGCAATTTAGGTGCCTAGAAGTACTCCATGTAGATCTGACAGCAGGAGGATGGAGGAAAAAAAAAACTAAACCGTTCCTCTGCAAATAGTTATCTTTCTTTAAATTGTGGTCAAATGCACATAACAGTTGTCCATTTTAGCCATTTTAAATGTACAGTTCAGTAGTGTTAAGTATATTCACGTGTTGTACAATCTCCAGAACCTTTTCATCTTGCAAAACTGAAACTTTAAACCCATTAAACAACAGCTCTCCATTTCGCCCTCCCTCCAGCCCCTGGCAACCACCATTTTACTTGTTTCTGTGGGTTGGACTATTCTAGATACCTCATATAAATGGAATCATACAGTATTTGTCCTTTTGTGATCGGCGTATGTCACTTAACATAATGTCTTTACGGTTCACCCATGTCGTAGTATGTGTCAGAATTCGTTCATTTTTGAGACTGAATAATAGTCCATTGTACGTATATAACACATTTTGTTTATCCATTAATCTGTCAGTGGACAATCGGGTTGCTTCCACTTCAGGCTATTGTGAATAATGCTGCTGGGAATACGGTGTATAAATACCTGTTTGTTACCTTGCTTCTAGTTCTTTTGGATATATACCCAGCAGTGAAATTTCTGGATACGTTAATTCTGTGTTTAATATTTTGAGGATCTGCCCTACTGTTTTCGATAGTGGCCACACCATTTTACATTCCTACCAACAGTGCAGAAGGGTTCCAATTTCTTCACATCCTTGCCAACACTTGTTATTTTCTGTTGTTGTGTTGTGGGTGTTATTTTATTTTATAGTAGCTGTCCTAATGGGTGTGAGGGGATATCTCACGGTGGATTTGATTTGCACTTCCTTAATGATTCCTGATGTTAAATATCTTTTAATGTGCTGTTGGCCATTTGTATATCGTCTTTGGAGAAATGTCTCCTTTAAGTCCTTTGCCCATGTTTTAACTGGGTTCTTTGTTTTTCTGTTATTAAGTTATAGCAGTTCTTTACATATTCTAGATATTAACCCCTTATCAGATATGGGACATACAAATACTTTCTCCCATTCCATGGGCTGCCTTTTCTCTCTGTTGTGTCCTTGAATGCACAGAAATTTAAAATTTTGATCTAGTCCAATGTACCTATTTTTACTTTTGTTGCCTGTGCTTTTAGTGTCACATCCAAGAAGTTATTGCCAAATCCAATGTCATGAAGTTTATCTTCTAAGAGTTGTATAGTTTTAGTTCTTACATTTAGATCTTTAATCCATTTTGAGGTAATTTTTATATACCGTGTAAGGTAGGCATCCAGAGACCAACTCCATGTGGATATCCAGTTTTCTTTCAAATAGCTATCTTAAAATAAGGTTTATGATTGATGGTGACAGTTTACCATATTTGGTTGAATAAAATATTTTACATACCTTGGCTACAATACAAAACAAAAAGCATTCAAATTCACCTTGTAGGTTTTGTTAATTTCATGTTCCCATCTTTATATCTTTTAACAGAAATACTCTTTGTTAAAAATAACATGCTGTACTCTCAGCAGTGTGGATTGTTTTCCAACAATATCCATTTCGGGGAGGTGTTAGTGGGCAGATCAATGAATCATCCACGTGGTGGGTCACTTACCAGGCTCAGCGCCTGCCCTTTCCTGCCTGTGAGCAGGATCCTGTGATGCTTGGTCTCTGCACTTTCCCGGTGTTCCTGATAGCACAGATTTTAAGGGTAAGGGTCGGTGTCATTGTTATGAAAGCTCCGGCCAGACAGCCACCACTGAGCACCATGTTTTGCAGGTTTGGGCCCCGGACTCAGAGCCCACGAGCAGAGTTCTGAACCCCCAATGCAGTAGACACAAAAAACGCAGAGATTCAAAGCACTTCCGAACTTTTGATTTGCTCATAGTGTAAAGCTCCTCCTAGAAGGCTGCTTCTTTAAACTGCTGGATACTTCCCACAGGGAAAACTAGTCTCCAATGCACAGAGTGCCACCGGCAGCAGGCGTTTGAGGGGCCTGTGCTACCCACGCTGGGTGTCCACTCACCCCTGCCGCCTCTCACACCTCAAGCCACCTTCCACATCTGGAATAGTCGTCATGAGCTGGAGGAGGACCTGAATTTCCTGGGAAAATGCTAAATCGCGGAGGCTTCTGGTGCCAAGAAAAATAGCCTGGCCAAGATTTGGGGCTGTGAGCCTCAAATGCCACCTCAGGAAGCAGCCATCACCATGGGTAGTGCAATCTGGCTTGATTTTGCCAAAACAAAGGAAAGGCCCTCCAGCAATTTCTGTGGCTTTGTTTTGCAAGATTAAATTGCCTGCCTTTAATTCTCCTTTACCGGCTTAATAAAAATTGGAATTTCAAAACCAGTGAAAGACAGAAACCTCACTTTGGAGTGGATGTCAGATCCCACATGACCTGCATTTCAGTCTGGGACAAAGAGATGGATCATGGAAACTTCTGGGGAGTGGAGGCTTTGGTGGTAGTAGGATTCCCTAGGCTTTGGAGCTCCTGGACCACCCCCATGTGTACATGTGCTCGGAGCCCATGGGGACTCATAGCTGTTTCCACACACAGAACAGAAGCTTGCCAGACTTCCCCACTTGAGGACCCTACCCCTGCATGCCTCCAGAGCCAAGTTCCAGCTCATTTATGTGTATTTCCAAGTGGGGCCTCGGGACCTCTTCCCAAGGAGCAGGCTGGGCCCAAAGGGAACTGACCTCCTCTGCACCCAGCCCTGGATGGGCCCTGCAGCGGCCAAGCATATGAGATCCCCCCTACCCTCAAGGAGGTCCAGGCACATGCAGAAGACAGGCTCTCAGACAAGCACCACCCAGTGGGACCCGGGAGGGAAGCATGAGGACAAGGGAGTCCCAACAACGTGTCAAGACCAGCCTAGGGGGATTAGGAAGGCTTCCTCAAGGGGATGATGCCAAGGCCGGTCTTGAAGAACCAGCAGGAGTTGACCAAGTTAGTAAAGGAGGAGCAGGCGTCCCAAGAGGGGGGCGTACATGAGCAAAGACTCACTCAAGTGTGAGGGAGCCAGACGTCAGAGAACTATAGGAGAAGGAGCGGGCTGCTGCTTCCTCAGCCTCTGCACACACACCGAGCTTCTGCTGTAATCACTGCCCCCACGTCCTCCTGGCTCTTCCCCTCCAGTCTCTCCCTTGATCCTGTCAAAGCCCCGGAGTTGATTGGGTCTGATGGGGCATGTTGGCCCTCATCGCTTAGCTTGTTTTCCTATCTCTGCTGTCCCGTTGAGTACCCTAAGCCACAGCCCCTCGTGAAGAATAGACAGTCTCTGCCCCCACAATGTGCGAGGCCACCAGAGACAGAAGGTCCAGCATACAGTCTGGATGG